AACGCGATAGATGTGACCAGAGCGTCAGGTTACAGTTTATTGTCTGGAAGGAAGTTATTCTCTCTAATATGATGTGTTCTCAATGAAAATTAATATAGTCATTTATGCGGAGTGAGCTTTTTGATTTCCAATTAAGAATGTAGTATTTTATTTACGACTGTACTAGTTCTCACCACATGATCAAACTCCTCACCTTATCACTATGGCAGAAGCTAGCCACCCTTTGGAGAAAAGTCATTTACACTGCTTGTATCTGTGATCCCATTCTTTCAGTCACTACACAGAGCTCATGATCGTAGGTGAGGCTGGAACCATAGATTGACCAGTAAATCCATGGCTTACACTAAAGCTGCATCAAAGCTCAAACCCCAGGAAAGTGAATGACTTTCCACATTTATTCATTTGACACCTACAGTTAATTTTTGATTTCCTGAACTTTCTGGGTTGAAGTTAATCCACAGTTTTCATCAGTGAAGGGTTTTAGGGTTTTTGTAGTGCACACTTTTCTCTCCCATCTTTCCCATGGTCCCTTAACGCAGCATCAGTGTTACAGGTTGTGACTCCGGTAAACAAATTGACACAGTGTGATATTACAGATATTTAAATCTCTCTTTACTGATGATGTTGAAGCTGCCGAAGGCTCAGTGAAGTTTTTACACTGAGGTTAACAACTGAAATTTGAAAACCAATAATGCACAACACAAGAGGTTGCCTTCATCCTGCTAACAGGGATGGAGAGGAAGGTAAAGCATTGCACCTTAGTTTGTCCATACATTTGACAATTTGCCATGTATTTAGGATGAACAAGTCCTTTATAATAAAGGTTACATTATAATAAAGTGCACTGTGTCATAAAACACAACATATAAACATTTCTACTAAAATATGCTGCAGAAAGGCAAATATACTTTTTTTTTTAGTCATAATTACACTCAAACACCGTAGCAAAAGTCAATTTAGTACTTTCTATGTTCTATATATCCTTTTTTTTATTCTATATGCTGCCGTGAAAAAAAGGTTGCGGTCGAAAAGAGTTTTGAAGCACAAAAATGCAGGACTTTTTTGTGTAAGGAGGGCAGCAACACACCTTTGATGGGTCTAGTCTGCTGTAAATGCAATAGAAGAAGGAAAGCGGAAGTGACGCGACTCTTACTATTTAGCAGCGTCTTCAGTATCCGAGAGTTTAAGGAGAGACGAACTGCAGCCGAAGAAATCTCAGAAATTGAAAAGACATCAGTGAAGAGATCAGCTGGCCACGCAGACTGTTGGATATCCGAGATAAAGTCACACAGGTGTGTAAAACGGCGTCAATGAGCTAACGCGGGAATACGACTCCTGTAGGACCCTGATCAGAGCTCAGTTTGCAGGCTCAGATCTCAAACCAGCAAGGAGCTACGAGCTGTTTACAATAGGAATAACACAAGTTTCTCTCTCTCTCTCTTTTTAATGAAAACCTTTCAGCCCGAAGTTCAGTGAGACACGGGAGGCGCGTGACTAGTAAAAAGGCGACTTTACACGTTTAAATCAAAGATACGTACAGAGAAAGTGGGGCAGGTCCAGATAGTCCTGAAATACCTCCTATTATGTCTCCTTATTCTAGCTACTTTTCCTTGACCTTGAAGGAAAGCGTAACGAGGCCGATTAAAGGTGTAAATGAGAATTAATAAGCACTTTAAAAGAGAAGCACAGTTCAGAGAGCTGCAGTGACTCCAGACTGTGCAAGAGATGGACTACAAAACCCGCAGCTGGGTTCTTATAAACGAGGTTAACGGGGGGGTTCAATATTCGCCATTTCAGCAATGTTTCTGTTATGTATTCAATAAATTACAATGCTGTATACGTATACATCTATATTTACATTTAATAGTCCTTTATTTATCCAGGTAAAAATCTCATTTCAAAGAGAGTCCTGGCATCATGGCAGCAAAATTAAAAAAACATGTACCACATAAGCACATAACAATTAAATCAAATACAATATTCTGTACAAACATGTGAAAAATATAGAGTAACAGATCATTAAGAGCAACCAGTCTAGACCAGTTAATGGCACTTGCTGGGTTTCCCCTAGGGGTGGGGGAAAAATCGATACTGTGTAGTATGGTGATATTTTGTTTGCTAATAATGTATCGATACAGGGACAGCAGAAATCGATATTTTGTTACAAAAAAAGTTGACTTCAGAGCATGTTGATCCTTTTTCTGAGCAAGAATCCTGACATTCCTTCACTGTCCAAATGTATTTAACTTTTTTTTTTTTGGCAGCAATAAACATGACAGTTTACTTATTTTAATTTAAGACATGTTTTATTTTAATTAAGTTTAAAACTTTTTTATTTAAAGTAAAATTATATTTTGTTTTAATTTACTTTCAAATTCTTCAGTTGCTGAAGGGGCTGCATAGTTTTCATAAACTGCATAGTTCAGAATAGCTATAATTGTACCAGATGGTTGCGTTCAGTTAAGTTGGACTAGACTGTAATACAAACCGTTCAGTTTGTCAACAATAAAACTGAAATGAGAGAAAGACTGAGTGTGAGACTTTGTTATTAGATAAAATGAATATTGATAAAGTTTACCTTTATGTACAGAATCTGAATATCGCAAAATATTTTTAAAAATTGCCATTTGTGTAAATTTGTATAGATTATATTATATCTTATATACCTATTATGATATGCTATCTTACATTACAATGTAAATTTGAAGAGAAATTTATTTTGACAGTAGTCATAACAGCAATAAAAATAATATATCACTAAAAATAACACCACTGATGGTGAAAAAACAACCACATAACAGCAGTAACCTGTTGTGTATCTCTTATGTGTTTGTGGAGATGTGCATGGCTTCAGCCCCAGGTGTCTGACCAAGGTCAGAAACGGATTCCAATGTCATTAAATTACAGTTTTTGTTACTCTGGGAGGAAGTTATTCTCTGTAATGTGATGTGTCATTACCCAGAGCTCATGAGCGACTAATGTGGAGATGGATGCGTAGGTGAGGGTGGGACCATAAACGGATGGCTTTGCTTTTACGCTCAGCTCTCTCATCACCACAACAGACATCAATGCACTGATGTCTGTTATCGGAGAGTGGGATTATGTCTGGAACCTATCTCAGCTGTCGTAGTGCAGGAAGCTTTGTACACCCTGGACAGGTCGCCAACCTGATGCAGGGCTAACACACAGAGACAAACAACCATTCTTACTCAGATTCTTGCCTATGGGCAACCAGTCACCAATTAACCTAACCCCACTAACTGCATGCTTTTGAAATATGGGAGGAAGCTGGAGTACCCGGAGAGAACCCACACGTACCACATAAGCGATATGGGATATGTTGTCAAAAAGTGTGTAATTGGCACAGGTAGATGCCTCAAAGCTTTGAGTACAACACCTTAACCTTGTCTCTATTATGTTACTCTTGACAGAGTCCTCACCATAAGTGTTTACGGTGGACCTGCACATTTTGCTGTTCCTCAGTAATACTGGTATTTGATGAAACATGGCAGAACTTAAATGAACTGTCTTTTCAGTTGTGCACACTGACTGAGCTACTAATGTGAAGATAAATCCAAATGAGAATATTGCAACTGAAAGCTTTTCACTGCTGTTGCAGTACTAGTTAATACAAAAAAAACCCTGTAAGATGTATCTGACAAATATTTATAAAAAACTTATCATTCCTCCACTTTATTTATCGTTTTCATATTTTGTCTCAAAACATTTGTCACATTTGTGTTTCCCTGTCATCTCATAAGTAACCTTTTTGTTGTGTCCGTTTGTCCCTCAAGACCTCCCACAACAACATGAAGTGTGAGGAAGAGGAGGGTCTGGATGACCAGCAGGTCTGTAACCAGGAGAGAAATTCCAGTCTGAACAAGCAGAGCCCAGAGCTCCCACAGATTAAAGAGGAACAGGAGGAAGTCTCCACCACTCAGGATGTAGACTCGCTTGTAGTGAAGCAGGAGGCTGAAGGAATCATCGTCTGGACTGGGGAAGAGCGGCTCAGACTACTGGATACAATCTGGAAATGTGAAAAACACGACAAAGGCATGTAATGTCCTTAGTAAAAACAAATATGACTCATGTAGGATTCCAAACGAGACACCAAATTACTTTTACTTTTAGAGGTAGAGGATGAATTTAAGAGCCAAATGCAAGTATCATTATACCTCTATTATTATACCTTTCCTAAGCTAACTCTATACTCTCTATCAGTCAGCTGATAAACTGACTTAAATTCTTAGACTGAAGAGGTGAGACTAGATTTTAATGCAGCATTTTGTCCAAACTGAATACAATTCTTTGCTTATTGAAGCTGAATCATTTTGAAATTCTTTATATTTACCCACAAATGTTGCTAAAAGTTTAGAAAGAAACAATCTTGAGAATGTAAATAATGGTACAACCCAAAAATAACATAAGATAGAACTTAATTTATTCCCAGTTAGATGTTTGTGCTCAGTAAACAGAGATGGGCAGTAACACGTTACTGTAATCCAATTACTTTTTCAAGTAATCGAGTAAAGTAAGGGATTACTATTGCAAAAAAGGTAATTAGATTACTGTTACTTTACCGTAAGCACACTGTGTTACTGCGTTACTAAAACCGTGATTTTTTTTTTAAAAAATTTTTTGCAAGTGTCTCATGACAGTGACGTAAGCGAGTGCGACATTTGTGGCAACAGCTGTGTGCAGATCAACAATGGATAATATATCGAGTGCAGGAGAGAGTATGAGCGTGCAGCGTTTAAAGCGTGGAAGTACTGACCTTACTTTGAGTTTGATTCCATAAAAAGTGACAAAAACA